TACATATATATATATATGCAATCGATTATTTGTGAGTACTACTCATGACTGGCTGAAAATACACTAAATGCTAGGGGAAGAAAAAGACTTCTTGGAATGAACACCAGACAACTAAACAAGAGATTAAGAGAAGGAACTAAGTGTGGTGGTACAAGCCTATAATCCCAGCACTCAGAAGGCAGAAGGTGAGTTTAACACCAGCCTCTAGACTACATAGTGAGTTCAAGTCCAGTCTGAACTACATAGCAAGATCCTCTCTCAAAAAACAAAAAGCAAACAAACAAAAAGAGGAAAAGGAGGAGCTAGGGATGTGGCTCAGTGGTAGAGCTCATGCTTGTATGCACAAAACTCTGGGTTCAACCTCCAGCACCACAGAAAAAAAGAAGAAGAAGAAAAGGAACTGGGTGGGATCATAAACCAAATGGTTTACATGGTAGGATCCCAGCAAATTTTGATTTCTCCAACTTTGCTGATACATACATCTCTGCTCACTTCCATTATCAATGACTGTCATAAATTTATATACACACACATATATATATTTATACAATATTAAAAGCCTTAAATTTCATTTACTATCTTTCATATGATTCTGTTTGTTTTCCACATATTCACAAAATTTAGTGCAATGTAAGTTAAGGTCAGTTCCTTAAATCTACATTTTTATAATATTCTTCACTCATGAAGAGTTTTAAAACTAATAATGTTATAAAATGTACACTGATAACCTAAAGTGACTGTATGGGCTATGTAAATATACTAATGACTATTTTCTAGATCTAATGAACTCAAAATTAGGTCATTATCTGTATCATCAAAGCAAACATTTAAAGGCACAATCATTTTATTTATATCTTTAAGTATATAAATGTTTCAGCTATTTCTCTCTAAATATTAATGAATAAAAATAATGAATAAACACTATTTTTACTACAGAAAGCAAAAGATTAAATCAGAGCCTGCAAGAACATGAACTATCTGCTTTAGTCATATGAAGAATGTTGTATCAATCAGAGGAAAATTGAAGGAAAAGTCACTGATTGGCTGAAAATACAGTTAGGGAAAAAATTTTCCATATGGCAAAAGCCAAATACCCTTCTAAAAATTTAAGCTATATAAATTTTCCTATCTTCTACGTACATATCAGAAGCTAATTGTTCACAGAATTTCAAAAGGAGTAGAAAAATGTTAACAATTACTTTTACAAGCATATAATTAATATATTATACATTTTTGTAGTGTCCAATGGTTTTTGTTATTTTTTAAACTGGATGATATATTTTTTTCCAGCAATTAGTGTATGCTCAGACTTTAAGTTATTTATGTATTTGTAGTTCTAAATAATACATCTATATAAAAATAGATTCTCCTTTTTTAAAAAAAGAACCTGCGGTGCTAGGAATAGAACCTAGAGACTCGTGTGTGAGGCAAGTACTGTACCACTGAGCTACCTCCTCAGAATCCTCTAAAATAGATTTCTGACCAGTATAAATTTATAATATTTCAAAATGGATCAAAAAATACACAGGACGTGAAAGAAAAAGACAGAGGAGTGAGAGGAGGGCAAACGCACTAACGTGCAAGAGGATTTTAATGAAAGATATGGCATTTGCAAAATTAAACAACTATACATAGTTAGCATGTGTAGGCGAGTGCTTTTATGAGCCCCTTTTTAAAATAGTAAATATAAAATGAAATATATTTGTGGTTATACTTCAGCCTGTTTGCTGGCCAATCTTTACTACTTGTTTAAAGACTAAAGTTGATTATTCAGGTACTAATTCTCTAACTTACAAAGTAGCTGTGGTGTTTGCTTTTTTTCTCCATATTACCAGATTTTTGTGTCGTTCATTATTCATTAGCAATCTCTACTGGAATGGCAAGTGAAAACAATATGAGTACATCCATTGTATTTCTTTTTTTTTTTTTTTTTTTTTGGTTTTTCTCTGGTACCAGGAACCGAACTCACGACCTTGCGCTTGCCAGGCAGGCGCTTTGCCGCTGAGCTAAATCCCCAGCCCCCATTGTATTTCATTCTGCATTTCTGATACAGCTCTCAGAAATTAGTAACTTGCTCGCTATCCTGTACTGACAGAGACAGAATCTTTTGTATTTACAAAAGATCCTTTGTATTTACAAAGAGCACATTCACTGAAAATCAGGAGGTAGTTATTTTTTTTCCAGGTCTACTAATAACGAAGAGGAAAGATTTCAAAATGAGATATAAAAACTGTACAGAGATATATGATGTGACTTAACATAGAGTATATTGATATCAGAGAACTTGCCAATGTTCAACAGCAGGTCCGACACTAATTCTCACACTTTCCTATTGTCAAAAAACCGAGACAAATGCCACACTATGTTGTGAAAAGGGCAGACTCATCCATGATTCTGCTGCACCTTTACAGCATAGTCTGAGAGGACAGCCTGTTTCTTTCCTATTAGCAGGAGAGCCAAACTGAAGCTGTACTGTGCCTTTTTTACAACATGCAGGGAAAAAGTCACCTTCCGGGATCAGTATTGAGGAACTGATAGTGCATGTGTAAACCAGAGAATATGGTATAGTGCAAAGGAGACAAGGAGACAAAAGAAAATCTAAATCAGTTCATAAAAATATAGCCCTGTAAAATATGTCAGCAAAGTGAGGGGAAGGGCCTTACCTTGCAGATCTTGTAGAGTGATTCCTGACCATCTCCTCCTGTGTCTTTGAAGTAATCATGTGCAGGAAATGTACGATGAATATCCCGTGTAATAACACTCTCCTGGGCTGAGTCCTAAATAAAAAAATCCAAGACTTTGTTATTAATGTAAAATTTCATTTTAATTATAAAAAATAACAGATACACATGGTAAAGAAAAGTTCAAGCAGCAACCACAATTAAACTGTAAAAAACTTTCCCTTCTACTTTAGACTGACAATCCTATTTCCCAATGATAAATGCTACCAACAGTTTTTTAAATGTCCATGCATCCAAGTATTTGTATCTGTATGTATGTGTAGTATGTATAGTTAAGTACGGAGCAAGGAGGGAGAAAATTTGTATATATGCATTTCCCTAGAAGCAAAATCATCCCTTCTTTTCACTTAATAGGATAAGTTATCAAATGTTATCAAGTCAAATTATTTTATTCTCTTCAGAAACAGTTAATAAAAAGAATGAGCAATATCTGAATATAGAATGATAATTTAACATTCTCCATTAATGACTTTTCACATTTTAAAATTATACAACAAATGTAAGATTATATATATGTAACATATGTGTATATGTGTTCAAGGATAGATTCCTACAGATTGAACTGCTAGGTCAAACGGTTCATGCATTTTTAGTTTTCATAAAGATATGTTCCTTCCAGAGTTATACCAAAGTATACTCCAAAAAAAAGTACAATATATTCTACATTCACACAATATCACATATTTTTTGTCTTTTTTTTATTAAGTCCTTGAGAATCTGATAATTCAAAACTTGGGTCAAAGTCATTTAAAATGTAAAAATATTATCCATCTCCCCTGCCTCATACTAGGTTATGTATTTAACTCGTTCACTCAAAAAACAAAAAATCTACAAGATACTATATTAAAATGACATATTCTTTAGTATATGTGCTGCTGAAGTGAGCACAACATATCCTTAAAAAACAAATTCAAAGTGTTTTTTTTTTTACAGATTCAGGAACCAACATCTCAAAACTGAGAAAAATTCTAAGCTGAAAATAATTATTCACCTGATTTCATTTTATTTCTGGAAATATTTGGCATATCTGTACTTAAATGTCAAGAAAACAGGATGGGATTACTTTGAGCAACCCTGACAACTAAAATACTCTGTACAATTCAAAGTAGTATCAAAGACTACTAATTGCAAATTAAAGATATTGTATAATGCCTTACTTCCATAAAGATTTGCACAAATTCCCTCTTTCAGTCTCAAATTAAGAAAGAAAAAATGTTTAAAGTATGAATTACTGTGTGCATGCTATTTCCCTTTATCTTTGCAGCTGAGAAGTGTACAACAAGTGCACAGTTGATTAGCTGTGGTTAAGCCAGTTCCATCTCTTGCTGCCTTTTTCATTTTGGTTGCTATTTCATGCTGGGTGGTAATAAGATCTTACCACCTTTCTTACAAAAAAGGAAACAAACTGAAAAGTCCCAAATTTGATAGCAAACACAGAACACAGACAAATCAGTCAAGAGGAAATTCTGATGCCTTTTAGGAATGTAATGCTAAAATTGAATAAAAATTGGAACAAATTAAAATGTTATATCCATGTACCAATTCTCCATGATGAATGTAATCATTATGTACTACAAACATGTACTAATAAAAATAAAGATTAACAAAACAGATCACCATAGCTTAAGTAGAAGGATATATATACAGAAAATATTTGTCATGGCAATATAATTCCAAATGATAGAGAAAATTTTAGATGGGGATCTAGAATGAGGCACATGTAAAAGTAATATATAAAGAGACATGCTATGGGGCTCGGATTTATCCCAAAGGTGGCACACACCTTTAGCATGTGAGAGACCCTGGGTGCAATGCTCAGCACTGAGAAAAAAAGACATACTTTGAAAGGTTTGTTTTATCTGGTCTGGAATCTAAATATGAACCTCTTATAACCAGGTACACATATGTTTTTACTGCCAAGGTGTTTTCCAATAGAAGGTTTTTCCCCCTATGCAGTGAAAGTATTTACTTATACACTAGTTGAAAAGATGGCCCATAAAATGTTACCACTGCCACTGTTAACCATTTCAAGAGCAAATATGTGCCTAAGAGTCCACAGGATAACTCCTCTGTAATTTGCAGGGCTTCAGGAAGGATAAATCATTGAAGCATATTCCCCAGAAACTGCTTACATCTGTAGGATCATGTTGTACATAAATGGAACAGATAGTGTGATTTAGAGAAAGGGAAACTGATAAAAAATTTCTAGAAAGTAAATTTACATAGTAATAGGTAATTCTCTATGCATATTTGATCCTCCTTGTTTATGAAATAAAAGGACAAAATTAAAGGAAAATAAATTTACCAACTTTTCCTGGGTTTTCCCTTCCTAGGAATACTTTTTTTAAAGTTCCTCTAAGAAGGCCTACTCTGTCGCTGATTATCTTCGTATATAATTTTTAAATGACTATATTATACATATTTATAGAGTATACTACGCTCAGGTTTGAGGGTGACCCCTAAGTGTTCATGCATTGGAAGGTTTATCCTCAGTGTGGCAACACTGGGTTGGTGAAAGCTTAAAGGAGGCAGGACTAGTATATGGTGGTGAAGCACTGGGGAGGGACATGGTCCTCTGAAGGAATTAATGTCATGCTTGCTGGTCACTGGTTAGTTTTTGCACAAGTGCTGTTATAAAACAGCAATACTGGCTATTCCTCACTCTCTACCTTCCTGTCTGCTCTTTCTCCTTTTTTTTCCCTCTGGCATATACTCTCACCACTGTAATGTTATCCACTTTAGGCCTGTTAAGTAAAACTGTATGCTCAGCAAAAGTCTTTTCTTTACAAATCACCCAGCCCCAGGCATTTTGTTACAGCAACAGACTAGGACATAGTATGATATTTCAATCCTTGAATATACTATATATAATGAGCAGATCACAATAGCTGGTATAGCCTTCATCTCAGACATTTATCATTTCTTTGTGTTAGGAAATCCTCAAAATTTTCTCTATGAAATAGTTCAAATATACACTTAACTGTTGTCAGCCACAGTCATGACTTCAAAGACATCTACTTCTCCAATATCCAGACTCACAATCTGACCCATAATTCCCTTCCTAGTAGATATAGCTCCCATTTTGCTCCTCAGCATCCAATATGGTGGGTCAACAAACTCATTCATTCTATTTCTGCTTTTCTCATTTAATTCCTATAGAATCTTGGACAAATTACTTATCTTGCTGTACTTTAGTTTCTTCATCTATAAAATGGAATGATAGTATCATATACATAATTTTCCTTAGGATAAAATAATGTATGTAAAGTGTTTAGCACATTGGTTAGTATAAATTGAATATTTATTATTTAACTGTTTAAAATTTTTGGTGAATACACATTTCAGACATTCTTCTATATTTAAATAACAAGTAACATTTCTTTGAATATCATAAACATTATGACTATGAAACCAATTCTTCTAGGATTTAAAGTACGACAATATATTAATACATACATACCAGTTCCTACTTTGCTATATATAATGCATCCTAAATTATCTTTATTTCTATTAGCTCTCTAGTAAACACAAAGATGAACAACTATTTAGAAAAGGTACTATTTTTATCTACTGGTACCCATTCAGGCCCCAGCTTTGCATACAGCCCATGTGGCAGAGACAGATGCATACATATATACTCAGAAAAATGATGTGCATGACAGGGTAAGATACAAGTAAATTTGCTAACACAGTCACCTTTTCCACCACTACTTTAGAATTTATCTTCAAGGCCTCAGAAAAGGGTTGAAGACTCTCCTTATGAAAAGGATAAATGCCACTGTCACAACTGCATGCCTCCTTTCTGGATCATAACCAATGAGCGTGACTTGCAGCCACAGTTTCTGAGATCATCCTTGTCTTGCCTTGGCCAGGCTGGCCAAACACAGACTGACTGGAGACCACAAAGTAATGAAAGATTTGTAATAAACTCTGTAAAGTTAAATTTCACCTTCATATCCCTGATGTTACCACCACACAGAAACATTATCTACCTTTCAAAGATTCTCTTTACTTTTCAAAGCATTAAGTCATAAGACTAAACATATCCACAAAACATTTCTACAGTGCATAAAATCTATGCTCCAACAGAGAACAGAATTCATTGTCTTGAAGATCATTTGAAAATCAACTGTCAGAGGTATAGTAATGAGCTTGATTAACTTTTAATAGTTTTTAAGTGGGTTCAATTTAAAGCCTGCCTTCCAAGAGCTTTTCTTCCATTGTGACTTACATAACCTTGACATATTTGTAGCTCCATTAATTCCTACCAGGAAAGAATCATCACTTGCCTATTGTGAAAAAGAAATAAATGCAATATTCAAGTGTCAACAAGTATTAGGAAGACAGATTTGGGAGACGTAGTATATTATTTTTTATGAAACGATTTCTGGGCTGTTAAGATCTAGGAAATTATTTTAGTGAGGATGAGTATTTTCACATAAGACCTTAACAGAAATAAAAAAGTAATACCCTGACAAATAAACACTTTTTGGATCTTGATTTAACATGTTTAAACTATGACAGCAGCTTTTCTTATTAACCTTTATTATCAAATCCAAAATATAAGCTGCATTTTTACTTTGCATCTACCACAAAATCATTCCACTTTAGGAGAAAAAAATTACTCAACTTTATAAGTACCATGTCAAGCTGTTAGCACCACTAAAAATGCCAAGGTACACCAACCATGGCCACAATCAGTTAGTAGATAAATGATTCAGAGCTTAAAAACTTTGACTTTAGAGTATGCCTCTCATTCTAACTCTACAGGGATTCTCCTTTAGTTCTATGTTGTACGATAAAACATCACAAACTAGTCTGCTTACATACCCCCCAAAACAGATGGGTTTGCAGTAGTGGGTCTCATTTATTTGCCTTGATGTCTGACAAAAGTCCAAAGAGTCAGAGATGAAAGGAGAAAATATTAAACTGTACTCTAGATTCAAATGTGGTACTAAAATTATGAGCTAGAAACAGCAATAACAAAAAGTTGGATCATTGCCAATCTGTATTTCTTGAATATGAGAAGTGTTAAT